ATATAACATTTTAGACACATTCTAGACAGTTTATCAGCTAAAAAAAGTTAATTTTGGGGTAAGTTACTCTTTAATGTTAATCTGTTTGTCCAGACAACAGAACTCTGCAACGGACTGACCTCTCTTGTTTGATAAGACACTCTTTGAGCTGGGAGCCCTGTGATWGGCTGGAGAGTATATTAGGCGATCTGTGATTGGTTATAAGCAYRTCATATGATGTTATCATGGTGTATATTATTGGCTGTGTCCGCTGACGTGTCAGYGACGGGCCGACAGGACTTCCTGATTGAGTCCTGTTTGCCTGTTGCTCAGAGTTAAATCATTATTACGACCATACACGCAGACTTTTCTGGCATTATTCCAACGTGTTTCTGCTTTCATGCGACGACAAGTGCATAAAAACATTAATAAGGGAGTTGTTTCTCTGAGGTCACCCAACAAAGAAAAGAGATGAAAAACAAACACMGTGTGTTTTTAAAAGCAGCAAACTTTACAGCAATGAGCCACTTACTTCAGAACTATTCTGAAGAGAACCGCTGTGGTCAGGATGACAAAGTTGGAGAACAACACTGCCATGGCCTGGGGACAACATAAACAGATAAAAGATAAGTCACTGCACAAAGGACACTTTGTAAAAGCAGACAGGATAAAAATAAAACTTATACAAGATAAAAAGATTTGGATTCTTTTTGTGGTCTCGTTTCTGATTTATTGTTAACCTACAGGTTGCAGGTAGGTCATCACATAGAAGATGATGAGGTTGTCCAGAAAGTAGAGGAATGCAGGGACAGCCCACTTGAGGGAGAAGAGGAAGGAGGAGCTGGAGGAGAAACCCAACTCTCTGCAGGACCGTCCCTCTGAGGACAGACAGGAGTCATTTTACCTTTTATAKAAAGTCAAACGTGAGTTACGACTTTTCCACAGTGCATATAATCTGATTTATACACACAATCAATAACAGGTTCCTTAATAACAATTAACAGGGTTTCCACACCTTGGTCAACATCAAATTCWAAGACCTTTCAAGGACTTTCCAGTACCAATTTCCTCAAATTTAAAAACCAAGCTCAATAACAATTACCTACTGCTACCGCAGAGTGTTACCAACAAACAGGTTTAATATCAGGTAAATTCAATGGAAAACTGGGAATCAATGAAAGAAACTGGATTAAATCTATACCTTTCATTCATATCTACAAAACATGGACATGTAATTATGTCCTGGAGGTTCAGCAGCTCAGTTTGGGAGGAGGGGATGTGAACATGTCCAGGAGGAGCTGTGGTGCTTCACCTGAGCTCAAAGACCCGCCCTGCTCTGCTCTGATTGGATAAAACTATGACTATGGCTCAGGCTATTTGTTGAAAACCACGTCAGTTTACTGTAATCCTGAGTTATCCACTGCAACAAATGTACGTTTTTTATTTTATTATTATTATTTATTTATTTACCATTTTCGTGTGAATAAAGAACTTCAATCCCCAAAAAACATTCAAGCACTTTCAAGGACAAGTGTAATTTTTGGCTGTTTTCACAAACTTTCCAGGGCCTTGAAATCATTTTTTCAAATTCACAAACTTTCAAGGATTTCAAGGACCCATGGGAACCCTGAATTAATGTGTCTTGCCACCCTTGATGTTCACAAACAGACAGTAAAATCTGAAAAAGACATGAATAGTAACTGTACATTCAATCAAAAATATATATTCTCATCTTTAATCAACTTGCCACATCATGACAATTTAACACAAACCACTCTTCCTAAAAAACTGTATTTTTAAAGCAGACACCAGCATGTCATCAAGTCATGTTACGACAAAACTGAGATAAAATCTTAAGAAAGTTCTAAGAAATTATTGGATAGTCACAGAAATAAGACATGTGGTATACATGGACTAGCACAATAATGTAAACAAAATGAAATGATGCAYAAATGATGGTTTTAGGACATATTAAAATAAATATGAATGGCCAAGTATTCCTGTAAATAACACATATTACTGCTTTTCAAGCMTGTTTTCTAAACAAAGATCAGTTTATGTTGAGAAATTATTAAGTTGTAGCAGCTTTGGTTAACCCTTTTATGACAACATGCACAAACCTATGCAATATCTCATAAGATGTGTTTGCTCTTGGAGTTTGTGTTGAGGATGACTCTCAGCTACTACCACACCAAATATTAGTTTAGGACCTGTAAAATTGACTGATCTACAGACTTCTTTGCATTGGTCAATGTTGGTTAATTGTGTTGATCATCTTGACTCCAAAGATTAATCAGTTGTACATTYGATAATTACTTTGAGAGTTTCATTAAAATCCACTYGAGATATTTTGTTGACACTACAGATAAATAAACACACACATGGACAAAAACAATACTGCCTTTAACAGCAGGTGATACAGTATATACTGTATATAGTCAAAGGGCATATTCACAGCTGATAGTCCGGTAGACTCGGTTCGATTGGGGACCAAAACTRCAAGCTTTGTTTACATTTTCTGTTGGTGTGGTTTGAATTCACACTGCAGTTTCTGAACTGAACTAAACCCTGTAAACAACCTGTTCCCACCCTCACCTGTGGGGGCGCTGCACCAAGAACCACTGAAGGAATCAACATGAAAACCTCAGAAGAAGACATGGAGCAACTTCCTTCTTCACAAAATGTAAACAAACAGTAGTAACGTTACATTTTAGTGGTTGTAGGGTTTATTTTTTGTTTTTAAATGTGCTAAACAAATAGTCTTCAACAATGAGCTCAGCATGAGAGGAAGATGAGGCAGAACCAYRGAGAATGTTGTTTTTACACACAAGGCGGCTGAGGAAGCTCCGTGTTAATCGAGCAGGAGCAYGTCCAGCTCCAGAGACATGATGTCCACCTTATACAGTCGTCCAGTGAGGTTTTTACACCATATAAGTACATTTATTACTGTTATTACTCAGAATGTCATGTGGTATAGTCTRCTTCCTGCTTTTGGAGCGGTCTCTGGTCTGCTTAGCGTTCAAAGATTCAATCAAACCGCACCAGAGTTCGTTTCAATCGAACCGAGACCTAGGGTTTCAGGCGGACCAGAGTTCGCTTTTTTGGTCCGAATCATGCTGCGTTCACACCGAACGCGATTTCAGCTTCAAAATCTCATCCAACGCTGAAGTTGGTCTCTTGTGCACTTTGAGGTC